CAAGCGCAGTGTAATATTTGAGCTGTCATTACGGAGGTGGCACTGGGGAGGTGAATCGCTGGAGAGGTTGTGTCCTCTAAGCTGTGTTCAGACCGCCAGATGTCCAGATTTGATCTAGATGGGTTTTTGAAAGTCTGGACAGCAAAAAAACACAATCTGATTCACATAATATCCTGAGGTTGACATTTCACCAAACACACTGGTCCAGCCGACCAATCAGAGCACACTGTGCTTATCAGAAGGCGGGGCTTCATAGAGACAGGAACTAAACAGAGCGTTACTGACAGACTGGGAAGAGAGGAGCCGCAACAATGGAGAATATGGGGGAAATAATGTGTTTTTTGAACATTCAAGCATAAAATCCTATTCTAGTAGAGTCCAAAAATCAAAATCAAGACTTTGTAAAACAGTTTAATATGCGCTCTTTAAAAAATTCTAATAAAAAGAAAGACCCATTATGTCCTCTTTAATATACAGGTACATTAGGACTTGGCATGTCAGGTCTTAATAAAACATGTTCACTAAATTCAAGGACAAACATAAATTGGTGGGATCATAGATGACAGTTTTATCAGACCAATTCAAGTCAATAATTGTAAAAGTTCCATGGTTGTAATCGCTATCTTTTCTGTTTCTTTTGTGAACAGATCACATCGCGTTGATTATCGAGCTGCTGGGGAAGATTCCTCGTAAACTCATCATGAATGGCAAATATTCCAAGGAATTTTTCACCAAGAAAGGTACATCTGTCAATAGACACATGTCACATGAGTAATTGCTCAGCTAATGTGTTTCACTTACTTGATAAACTTGCTCACAGTGTTCAGTAGCTTTGTGTGAATGTCATAGATTGATTAATGAGGTGTGTCAGCACTGCCATTAATGGGATGGCCAAACATTTTTTCGAGCATGCGTAAATGTTGAAACTGATAGTTCTCACTTTAACTTTTAATTGGATGTGTCCATCTATTTGTTTGTGTGCTAGGTGACCTAAGGCACATTACTAAGCTGAAACCGTGGGGTTTGCAGGACGTGCTGGTGGAAAAGTACGAGTGGGCCCGAGACGAAGCCCAGAATTTCGCGGACTTCCTCATCCCGATGTTAGACCTCATCCCAGAGAAAAGAGCCACGGCTGCCGAATGCCTCCGTCACTCCTGGATCGCCTCCTAGTGGCCAAAACCCTCCAAACCACACACACACACGCGCACTTCTCTGAACTCATGAATGCTCACCACTGACAGACGCTGTCTTAAGAGCCGTTCCTGGTGTCCTGGCGGATATTAGCCGCAAGGATGAGAAGGTCCGGTCAAGCAGATCTAATCTGAATCCAGTTTGCAAGTCGTCGTTGCTTTTTTACGTAATGGGTAGAATTTGAGCGTACCGTCATTTCAGTGGTCCGTGCTCTTGCTGATTTCTCTAACAATCACTTTTCTATCAGTTTCCGTCATATCACAGGATGGTTTGAAACGTGTCCGCCGGATTGGTTTATCTTCTCAACAGGTTGGACTTTGTCAACTTACAGTGTCCATTTTCTTAAAAGCAAGAGTGTTTGGAGTAAAACGGACTCAGTAGCTGATTGTAGTTTTTCTTCACTGTGTTAAGAAACGATTGCTAGTCACAACTGTTTTCCATATCTTCACAGAGGGTTTTACATCGATGTCTGAATGAAGGGAGCATGAATGGACATTATTGAAGTTCTGAGTGTCTTCGAATTGAATGTGAGCTACTGTACAGTGCAGGAGAAACACACCCATGTATTTTTACCACAAAGGGCGAAAAATAAAAGGTTAGAATTTCTCATTTTGATTTTTATGTCACAAAAGCCATAAAGGATTATCATGGTTAGAATAACTCGTTGTGTAACAGTAATAATGACGTTTAATATGTGAATGCCAGGGAGGAGTTTTGGGATCAAGGTTTTTTGAGTTACATAATCTAAAATCAGTGAGAACATTTCAAATTTTGTACATACTCATACCAAAGAGTTGGTTCGTCACACGATCAGTGTTGTACAGTCTTAAGCCCCATTATTTGTGTACAGTTTTGTTATAAATGAATGGCTTAAGAATCACTGATTCGGAGATGCCTTGAAATGAATCTGCAATGATCTGTGCATCTTTTTATGCTTTTTCTTGTTGCTTCAAGCAATATTAGTTTTTGTCTCTGGATGAAGTCCTAGTTTAACTTTGAAAGGCCTTCGCGTTCTCTTGGATAAGCCGGTTTCGTTTGACCTTTTTTCACAGACATCATCTGCTTCTCTGCTCTCTGTTTTCATGAATGTCTCTCTGCTTTTGCTTGTTCAGCACTGAACTAAAATTGTTTCTGTAGTAACTTTAAATAAAGTTTTTGAAATGGCTTTTGGGACTTCAAAGTGTTTGTAGTTTAGATTAACGGTAACACTTTACAATAAGGTTTCATTAGTTAACAAACTAACAATACTTGTATTAATACATTATTAAAACCCAAAGTTGTAACCCTTAACGTTAATGCACTGTGAACGAACATGATTATTAACTAGCATTAACCAGGCTAAATAATGCTGTACAGATATATTGATCATTGTTAGTTTGTTAGTTAATGCATTAATGGTAACAAATGAGACCTTAATGTAAAGTGTTACATGATTAACTTTGCCATTTTGATTCATATCGCGAAATAACAGCGTGTCCCGTTTCATTTCTGAATAAATGAAGTGCGTGTTGATTTTAATTCGTGGAAGACTACGTCGTAAAGCGAGCTGGTGCTTTCATGTCCTCACAGAATGATTATAGCACAGGTATAGATTTTTAATATTAATAATGCCATTTACAAGAACAAAACAAATAGCATTCCTGTAAAGGCACATTTCTGATTCACAAGGATTCGGAGCGGCACTGAAAGAGGGTTCTCCTTAGTTGAACAAAGATAGATGTTTTGTTGTTATTGTGGGGAAACGCGTGTGTGATGGTCTCTTAGTAGACGTGAACATTTAAATTAAAGACAAAAAGACTTGATTCAGTCATGAGTGGCTGAGCTTTTAAGCTAATTGGTTGAGTGAGTGAGTGATTGAGTCGTAACACGAAGGGCGTCTCAATCGGATGTCCGCATCCAATAGAATAGCCTGAATATTCTCACTCAACCCACTGACTGCTTCTGATTGCTTTCAGAGGGAAAAAGCTGCCCATAACTACTGGTCTAGGATCAGTTTTCCCCATAATAATAGCATATATTAGCAAAACCGATTTGGTGTTTGCGCTCTTTCAAAGGCTTCTATTTACAATGTGTTTTTGCAGCGTTGAGCAGTGCAGCCAATCACCAACATCAGTCGAGCTCATGAAAGCAATGGTCAAATCAGACGTGTTTGTTAGGATCCACTCTTCGCTCAAAAACACCGCATTATTTGTCCAGTGCACGCTCACGAATCCTCGTTAAAGTGTGACATTATGTAGGCTAAATAAGAGATTCATTGTGCCGTCAGCTTCATTGATTATATCAGAACTGTGTGAGATCGAGATGAGTGACGGTGATTATTAAGGCAGCGCTCTATATATAATCCATTCAAAATTTGAATAAAACTTTGTTTTGCTGCATTAGGTAAGAGAATGGTAATTTATTATACAAAATGGCTGCCATGCCAAATCATGCATATAGTATGCTTGCTTTTCTGTTTAAATCATAATGGTTTGTGAACATATAGCTGCTTTAATAGCAAATCATTCATGCTGGGATGTGAAGGATGTTACTAGACGACACGTAACTTGAAAATATTTCATGACACTCTTTTTAAATGTGTTTTTAAAGAGGAAGGCGGTCTCTCGGCTGACTCGGTTTGAAGGCAGCCTTCGCTTCACATTCTTCATTCTGCCTGTTTTGAAGGATGCGTTAAGTGTATCGTTCGTGTCCTCCAATCGCCCACAATCCTTTGCACACATTCCTTACAGAGAAAGAATTAACAGAGTTTGTCCAATTTCACTGTCATGCACGAAAAAAAAATATTTTGGAGATAAAGTCGTTGTTTTCTTTTGTTTAGTTGTAAATTAACCACGTAATGCTAAACTTGTTCATGTGTGTTGATTAGGGTTGGAGATAAGGACCGAAGGACTGAGGTTGCCCATTCCTGATCTATGCCGGATTAATCTTCTATTGGTCACACGTGATACAAATTCACAGGTCAAAGTTCACCAAACCTTCTTCACATTGGCTTGTGTGTGTGGTCTCCAGCATTCACATGTGTATGAATGAAGTGCAGTGTGTTCTCCCTAGTCTAAACCATGTAACTAGCAGAAAAAGCCACTGAACGAGTTTACGTATTACAAATATTTGAGGATGAAAGTCCACACCATATACGTAAATAAAAATCAGCTCAGTTCTTTCTGGTTTACTGATTTAATTTTTACTAAACTCAAAAGTGTTTTTTTTTTTTTAAACAAATGCTCTTAACAAAATACCTCAATTTGGCCATGGTCTCAAAATATAAAATATATTTAAGAAGTTTATATATTAAAAATGTTTGAAGTAAACTGAAAGGTGGTAACAACCTTTTACAGACACATGGATTATTTGAGGATTATTGTCCTTCATATTTCAGAGATGGGCAGAAAGTGCTGTGTAGAGCCTGATGGTGTGCAGAAGTCTTCATGCTTCCTCTAAAGAGAAAAAAACAGTTATATTAGTTTATCAACAACATTCACCTCAGTGTATGAGGAATAATAGAACCGGAATGACATGATAAATAGTGTTTTGCGGAGTTGTTCAAGTGAATAATCACACTAATGAAAGGTGCACACGCATCCGGCGCGGATAATACACTTCTTGTTGCTAGCACTGCACGCTTGACGTGGGTTCTGGGATTACAGAGAACTGCTGTGGACGTAAAAGAAATCCTATATGCACATTCAGCACGTCTCTTTGGACATTGTTATTGCAAAAAAAAAAAAAAAAAAACGACACAAGATACCGGCTTGCTCCACCGATGCTATTTTAAACCTGCTGCACCTGCAGTGTTCCCGTCTTTCCTCCACTGCTCATTTCTACTGTCAATCATTTAGTAACACACTCAAGTCTTCTGGATTCATAGCATACCTTTCTTGCCCTCCACCTGGAAGTCCTCGGGCAGCAGTTTGTCTTGCCGGTTTCCCAGTACGAAGGCCAGGAAGGATAATGTGAGGGAGTCCATGATGCTGATGATGGCCAGGATATACGCCCAGCGCACCGTACAGTTTCCCAGTGTGTATTTATCCGTCCGCTGCCCACACATCCTCTTCACCTCCTCCGAGTCCCAGCCGTCCGGGTAGATCATACAACCTACCACCATGCAAGTCGCTGAATATCAAAAAGATACCCAGTCAGATCAATATAACAAAAAGATTTACAATTTTGTGTAGGAAATATGAGCTATACAACATTTTTTTTCCGGTCCTCAAATTGGATTGGCTAAGCGGCGTTTAGCACTTTTCCCTGTTTGAATCACTCCGCTTGTTTGTGTTCGCCTGTTCCAGAGACAGAAGTTTTCAGTGACGGTTACGTGTTTTCAGACAGAGGTTTTCAGTGACCGCCAATAGCTGACGAAATGTCCTTCAATCATCCCCTCAACCGATTCCTTCAAAGACTGATTCATTCAGGAAAGAGACGCCACTGCTGTTGCCTGAGTCTGACACACAACGGCTGTTTCAGGTTTTCAGCTTCGCTTTAGTTTGGAATCGTTCAAAGGATCCGGCTTAGCTCAAGATGTTAAAGAAATTAATACTTTTATTCAGCAAAGATACATAAAATTGAACAAATGTTACAGTTAAAGGTACAATATGTTGGATTTTTGCAGTAAAATATCCCAAAACCACTAGGCCAATGTTATATATTTTGTTTAGTTGATTACTTACAATATCCCCAATGTTTCCAACTATTTGTAAATCGTGAGAAAATTGCGATTTTAACCAAGGAAGCGGGACGTGTCAGCAGGGGTGAGGAGTCGCCAGTCTATGGCGTCATATCCGCGTTACCCTCGGTTTCCGCTCATACTGCCATAGAAACCATAGCGACAGACGTGAACAACTGGGTTATGCTTAGCAGGACGCTCACGCTGTTGTTGTTTTGTTCAAACATTATGGACCATGGCAAGCAGACTTTGAGACAAAAAGAGGACTAAAACGAAGATCAAAATTCGAGATGCCGAGAGCTCCACGTCGGCGACTAACTTCGACTCGACAGAGACTCGAGTGTTGCATGTACTTTATTAGACAGGTGAGCAAATGTAGGCTACATAAAACTAATCAATGTTTTTTAGTTCAATATGATGAAATGTTAGAATATGATCTGTATGTTATTCTAATGTTGATCTAGCTCACTGCTAGTCTAATACAGCCGACACACAACCTAACTAACAACATTCAACACACTCAAATGCCGTTTAGTGTGATAGTGTAACTTTTAGAGCAAGTGAAACAGCGCTGCGTTACCTCAAGTTTAATTCGTCTAATAAACTGACCTGTGTGAGTATTAATTCAGCACTTGCGTGTAGTTCGGTAGAATGAAATGTCCTTATTCCTTTATATCCGCGGGACTCGCGTTGTGTGTGGCGCTGGTATAAGTCTCTCATTAGCAATCGCGCCCTGCTTCATATCACAGTCATGTTAAAAACATCTCTATATTCACTCATCCATAAAAGATCCATCAGCTTGACGACAAGATCCATAATTCCGCTTAATGCTTTGCGTCATCGATATACGCCTTTGTTATTGTAAGAGATTAGCGACCCCTGGTGGCCAAAAATGACATCTATCTTTCAAATAAATGCTGTTCTTTTCATCAGTTTCATCGAGAAAGATTCGTCAAAGAATCTTTTTCAAAGACAGTTTTCTACATTGATAATGATAATAATAAGAAATGTTTCTTGAGTGCAGCAAATCATCATATTAGAATAGAATGAAGACCGTAATAGAGTAATGGCTGTTGAAAGTTCGTAAAAACAATTTATGAGAGCATAAAAAACTAGTGTTTCTACATGAAGCAAAACAGCTAATGCGTTTCTAAAACTTATTTTCTGTTTATTGAGCTATAAAAGCTGAATCATAGCCATCATATTCAGAAAACATCTGAAAACATGTTTTTAATTGATATTTTTTAAAAAGGTATTCTTCCCGAACAGTGCCAGAATAAAACAGCAGATTACTCAATCTCAAACTCCTTACTCCAAATAGTTTGATCATTATTATTAAATCTGTCTTTAGACAATGGTGTAAAAATGTTCAGTAATTATTGTATACTTTAATGTTTGAGTCCATACAGCAAATTAACTTTCAAAAATAAACCATCCACTGGAGAAAAAGCATGACCTTGATTTCTCTATTATCGTTGTCAAAAATACTCTCGACTACCAGAAATACTTTGCATTGGGACTGTTGCCTGGCAACTTCAGCCACACTTAACTCATCATTCATTATTCATATGACAATACACTCTCTGCAGGGCAGCTGGTGCTGCGGTGGATATTGCTTTACACACACTCTCTCTCGGTTTCACACTCACTTTCTTTTAACGAGTATGCATTATGTAATATGGTGTGATGGGAGGGTTATCTGTGTCCTCAGCGATTCATTAGATAGGACAAGACTTAAAGCATTATATGTCATAACCCAGCAGAAATATATTCCACTAATATACAGTAAAGCAGCGTGTCTAATCCGTCACGAAGATGTGGAACTATCCAGGGTGCTGAAGTCCTCATGCCTTTCACAACACCGTTACAACAGCTTCTGAAGCACTTGAAGAGTTCAGTAGTACTTTATTATAACCTTCATATGCCATTAACACCCATTGTATTGTTATTGATAAACAATCTGTCAAAGATGTTTGTTTTTGATCTGCAAATAACAATAAATAATTTTTGAAAAACGTTTTTTTTAAAACATAACTGAAAAATCTGAAATGTTGGCTTGCCAACTAACTCAAATAAAATGTAATTGAAGTCGAAGTACAAAAAAATAAAACTGAAATATTTCAAAAGCAAAGATGAATTACATAAAATTAAAACTAAAAACAAAGGCTAATTTAAAATCTTGAAAAAAAGAAACTATGATATAAATAATAAAAAGTAACACTGCACTTAAGACACGTTTAAAAATGACAATTTTATTCTATTAGATAAAATATTTAATGAAATCTGCAAACAGATTATTTCACTTTAAATCAAAAACAAAACAAACAAATGCCACTTGGAATGATATTTTTATATATAATAAAAAAAAAATGATGTTTTTTGGAAAATATGTCCAAATACTTTTTGGGGCCACTGTACATAATATAATATAATATAATATAATATAATATAATATAAAAGTCACGGTTAGGTGGTTGAGAAAGGCGCACGAGAATTACAAAGTCCTTTTAATCAAATAACGAACTCGGAAGAGAATGGCAACGCTCACACGAACAATAACCGACAAGGAATAAATACACATATGAAGACACAGAACAGCCGGACAGAGATGAACTAATAATCAGACACCATAGCAACTAATGAGAGCTAAGACATGACAGAAACAACTGAACAGAGCATAATCGTGACAATAATATAATGAAATTTCTACATTGACGGTTTAATATTTTATTATATTATTATTAATGTTTGCACTTACCGGCTGCCAGCTGCATCCATGCGCAGATCTTGTACACGCTGCCCGAGTTGCAGAAGAAGAACAAACTAAAGCAAACAATGGTGCCCACGATCAGCAGCAAGGAGATCCCGACGAAGAACATGGCGGTTTTGAAGGCGCCCGAGGGGATGGACCCGAAGTCCAGCGCACTGCCTTTACACACCAGCTCTCCGGTGATGGGGTTCCCGATGCAGTAGTGGAAGAGCCCGAAGTATCCCGACTGAGGGGTGTCCACGCTGTCTCCAATCCAGTACGGCTGGATGAAGACCACCACACAGATGATGGCGAAGCAGATGGTGAAGATGGTCCAGAGCACGCCGACCGCCCTCGAGTTCCTCACGTAGTTGGTGTGATAGATCCTGGCGGCCTCCTGGGCGGATAACAGCTTCGTCATGTTGG